GCAGATTAGGGTTTTTGGCATAATTATAATTTTGACCTCGAGGCTAAGGTTTTGTAAAATTACAATTCTGCTTTTTACAAATTTCGTAATTCCAGTTTATGTTCTGTCAACATATTTATAGTTTTACCCTCGAGTCTATTTTTACCAAATTACAGTTCTGCCCTTTGTGAATTTCTTAATTTCAGTTTATATCCTATCAAATATTTATAGTTTTATCATTATGAAATTGAAAATTTTGGTTTATATTCTTAATTATAAAATCGATAAATATGATTTATTATAATTATGATTGAATTTAATCATGATTATATTTTTGATTATTTTATTAGATTTAATTTTTGATTAAAAAAACTATAAATTATGGTTTACTTTATAGTTTTCTCATATGAATTATTAATTATACATGTGGCAAATAAAATTCAATTATTATTTTTAGATATTTATTTAGTTATTCACATGTATATATTTGAAATTGTGAAATAATGTTTATATATTAATAATTATTGAAGACATGATTTATATGTTATCATAATTATCATATAAGTTTTCTTTTACTTATTAAAGTTCAATAATTATTATGATTATTCTATTATTGAACTGCTTAACATTAATGTTCAATAATTATTATGGTTATTCTATTATTGAATTGTTTAACATTAATATTCAATAATTATTATGGTTATTCTATTATTGAACTACTTAGCATTAATGTTCAATAATTATTATGGTTATTCTATTATTGAATTGCTTAGCATTAATGTTAAATAATTATTATGGTTGTTTTATTATTGAACTGTTTAGCATTAATGTTCAATAATTATTATAGTTGTTATTCTATTATTGAACTGCTTAGCATAAATTAAAGAAATTTGATGAATATTATTTGTAATTCATCTCGTTTTATTTGACTTGTAGCTGCTAAAGTAGTCTTGGATGATAAATTTTTATGATATGAATTATAATAAAGGTCTTATCATTTATAGGACATTTTAGATTGTATTTTATATTTTTGTATTGGTCCTACAACCACCAAAGTGACCTGGACCGATAATTTATAAAATACATTATGAAATTAGTCCTAAATGATATTTAATAAAAATAATATTCATAATGACAGTATGAATCAGGATAAAGAAATTTAGTGAATATTATTTGTAATTTATCTTCCTAAGTTTTATCTGTCCAGTAACTACCAAAATAGCTTGAGATGATAGGCTTATGGGATATGAATTACAATAAAGTTCATGTCATTCATGGGATATTTTAAATTGTATTTTATTTTTTTGTATTGGTCCTGTAGCCACCAAAGTGACCTGGTATTCATGGGATAAAACTAAAAGAGAATGAGATATTTATCAATGTAGGAGATCATTTTTAAATGAAAGTGTTATTAGTTTGTATTTATCGCTTATATCTAAAGATGATTCAATTTGATAAATCTTGAGAATCCATGTTATGTTCTTAAAATTTTGGGAATTTAAATTCTTTACCTAGAATTATTATAATATTATTTCCCTTTTGGTGGTTGTAAACTTACTGTGATTCAATAAAATTAACCTTTGAATTCTGTATAATAGTCTATACAGAATTAATATGAATCATAAATTTATAATGATCCAAGAATTAAATATTGAATGTAGTTTTATAAACTCCTTGATATTATGTTTATCATTATATGCTTTTGTCTCATTAAAGAAAGACATTTTATCACCATATAAATAATCTGTTGAGATATGATTATATATATCTAATTCATGTAAAGTCTATGACCGTTTACGCTCTTGAAGTGTATATAAATGAAGTTGATAGACAATTAGATAGAAAAGTCAAGATCATCATATTTGATAAGGGTGATTAATTTTATGGTATTTATGATGAACCCAATTCTTTTGCTAGATTCTTAGAAAAATAAGGTATATGATTTACCAGATGTGTTACAACAGAATATGATTGCTGAAAGATGTCATCGTACCTTATAGATATGGTTAGGAGCATGATAGATTATTCTTTTGTACCCAAATCAATTAGAGAAGAAGCTCTAAGGACAACTATGTATATCTTGAATGATGTTCCTAGTAAGTAAATTACATGACTTCTTTTAAGTTATGAAATGATAGAAAACCGAACTTAAGATATTTATATATTTGAGATTGTCTTATGAAGATAAGAATCTTCAACTCACATAAAAGAAAATTAGATTTAATAATTATTTCTGAATATTTTATTATCTATTCAGAAAAGTTTAAAGGGGTACATATTTTATTACTCTAATCATAGTACGAGGACAATTAAATCTTGTAACATAAGATTCCTATAAAATAGTAAATAAATGGGAGTGAAAATCTCGAAATTTAATTTTGATATAGAGGAGATACAAGTTAATACTCCTTTATTATTCGAGAGATTGTTATTACTCAAATCATTAAATAATTTGATGAAAGTAAACAACAAAATAACATTACTAAACTCCCACATTATATTGATATCATTGTTAATAGTCTTGTAGAACACCCATAATTGATAACTTTGATAATATCTTAAAGGGGAAGGAATCATGTCATTTATGGTTATTATGTTGTATATCTATAAGAATTATATTATGATATAGGAATCAAAATGGATCCCTTATTTTTGTCACGGGTCATGAAAAGCAATGATTCTGAAAAGTAATATAATGCAATAAAAGAAGAGTTAAAATCAATAACTAGAATGGTATCTGATAAATTTATCGAATTGTCTAATAATAGTAAAAGAGTCTATTATATAAATGTGACTTAAAGGATAATGTCGAACGATATAATGGTCAGACTTGTGGTTAAAAGTTTTACTCATAAGGAATGTATCGACCATAACGACATTTTTAATGAACTCGTTAAGAATCATCATGACATTAGTGATTCATTATGAGTTTAAGTTATATCATAATGATATGAAAATATTTTTAAAAAATCTAGCTTTATATGGGTTACTCTAAATGATTTACAAAGAAAATGAAAGAAATATAAAGTTTGGTATGCAAATTCAGGAATCCATTTATGACCTTAAACAAGTTTCAAGATAATGATATATAAAGGTTCTTGATATCATAAATACTATTAATCAGTATTTATATCAGTGGAAGCAAGTTTATTATATTGGTCTTATATATAGATAATATTTTGTCTTACCAATAGTGATCTTGATTTATTATACTAAATCAAGAATTTGTCACTAAGAGTTTTAAAATGGTTGATATGAATAAGACATCTTATATTACTAATATTGAATAATTCAAGGATATACCTCAATGATTATGAAGATTGTCTTAAAAAGGATATATCAACCGAGTCTTGAAATGATTTTAATATACAACTTTGTTCAGTAAATCATAAAAGCAAAATTTTAGTCAATAGTAAATGCTTGAAAATGACTTGAAAAGAATCAGATAAAGAAGATATTCTTTGTATATGTGCAATTGAAAGTCTATACTCAAGCTTGTGTTAGAAAAGATATCAGTTTGTCCAATTAAAATATTGGGTATATATTGAAGTCATCGAAAAATAAAAATATTAAAGGACTAATAAGATATCCGGAAGGACAAAAGATTATATGCTCACATGTATGAAATTATATCAGCTTGAAATAATGGTATTTTTTAAATACTAATTATATAAATTATCTCGATAATAGGAAGTCCATCTTACGGTTAATATCTATGTCAATTAGAGGGATAATTTATTATTATTAATAATAGAAGTTGATTTTGTGGCATGCTTTGAGGCCATTAATCAAATTTTTTACTGTAAAATTTTTATCTCAGGACTTGGTGTAGTCATACTCAATTATCAAGTCGTTGAAGATATTTTATGACATTGCAGTAGTTTTCTTCTCTAAGAATGAGAAGTACTATTGCATCTATATGCATTATGGCATAAAGTACTTGATGGTTAGAGAAGATGAGTCCAGAAACATATAATGTCAATTAATTACTTGAGTTCCACTGTATTGATTGCTGATCCATTTACTTAGGACTTATAGTCTAAAGTATTTTGAAAGAACATGTTCGTATGATTAGGTTTGTGAGCAACCCATAAAGGATATGGTGATGCATGTTTGAGTGGATATTGTAATTGACATTCTTACTTACGTACTTAAAGTTATTTGTTTCTGCTATCCTGTTCACAATTATATATGTACATATTATAGTTGAATGTGATGACAGGATTATCTTGACAAGATAAATTATAGGGGTTATTTTGGACTGCATTAGGAAAGGCTAACAGTATTACGGTACATAGAAGGAAGTGTGACACTAATGGCATACAACAGCTATGACTCATATTGTTAGTCAGACTTAATATATTATTATTATTATTATTGGACTTATTGGCCTATTTTCTAAAATTCACTTGCGTGTATATAGTTTTTTCAAAAATTTCAGAATCCAATTTAGTTAAATTATTTTTAAATAAATTTTATTTATTTATTTTTAATTTTTAAGTCTTTTTTATCTTATCAAGGGCCAAGTGGGAGAATGTTAGATTATGTGGCCCTATTTAATTAGGTAAGATATATTATAGATATTATTGGATTCTGATCATAGTTATTGGCCAATAGAAAAGAAGTCAATGTTAAAGTAGGATTCATTAGGAGATAACCTTGATGGGAGGAATTCTCCTAATAACTTATCTTAGACATTCTACTCTCACCTATAAATAGATAAGACCTTTAGGGGCCTAAGTGTATCATCAGAGTGCATCTGAATAGCATCTCATAAATTGAGAGATTAAGGTTTTTCTCTTAATCTCCCATAATCTCATAATCCCTTAATCCATCAATCTACGTGGTCCTGTGAGAAGGAGATGAGAAGGATCTAATTTTCCTTATAGATCATTGATGAAGTGCTTGTAGATCAGATAAGGTTTATTTTTCTGAATAACAAAAAAAAAGTTACATATTATAATATTGTTACATCCAATTTATTTGATTTCAATCTTCACATTAAAAAAAATACATTTTATGCTAATATTCACTTCCAACCAAAGTCCACCATTGCCGACTCCTCCAAGCTGCCCTCCCTCGGCAGGTCCGGCCCTGACGATTTGTACTTTCGCTGCACGTACCTCGAGATAGCTCTTGATTCTGAGTTCAAGATTTTTCCTCGAAAAGCATTAGCAAATCAAGGGCATATATGTCTAAAAGTACATCTTCCGCTGTCTCTTATGCCACTCACCAAAAACGCAAAAGGTCTCCGCCTCCAAGACCGGCACGAGGCTAAAGGGCTGCAAGAATCACGCGGGAGTAAAGGTGAGACGATGATCGAGACATGCATGCTGTTGATTCACGCGGGGGAAGGTTTGGTTTCGCTTACGTTTCCGGCGAGATGGTGAGGGAACTTTTGCTCGCGGGTGAAACAAGTCCACGGGCACCAGCTGGTACTCCGCCCCCATCTCCTCCAAGCACAGAAGCACGCGCGCCGTAGCCGCCGATATCGCTGGCCCTTACACCTTCACCGCCATGATCTCTTCTTACTTTCCCTCTTACGAGAATGCCTGGGATAGGCATCACGTATTTGTAGAAGAAGGGCGACGACACGCTGGTTGTTTCCACCTTAGAATTACTCTGGTCTTTTCTTAATCTTTCTTTCTATCACAGACGATTGACTCCATCGCCCGTCGTTGGTCGACCGGAGAGCCAATAAATGCCTCTTCTCTTGGGTGTTGGAAGGTCAGTCCACGCGCATCTCGTGGCATCTAACACTAGTTTCCCTATACGAACCCATGGTCGAATAATTCGCATACTTTGCCCAACATTAAGCGTTAATCGAAGTCAATCGTAAAGGAGATGTCAAAAGGAATATTAGTAGTTTTGAATTGGGAAAGCAACTGCTCATCACCTCATATAGAAAACTCCTAAACATAACGATCAATCAATGACTTGAGTTGGGTCTTACGAGTAGGTTTAACGAAGTCAACAAAGTACTACTATTACTTTGATTAATTATGACCATACGTAGTACAGTTTATAATGAGGAGGAGAGCGTAACGAGCTGTATACACTTTTCCTCCATAATTTGGTATGTCAATTAAACCTTCAACTAATTGCAACGGCATATGAAAGTGTTTTAGGTTTTACAAGAATGTATACAGACTTCAATTCGGAGGTATCAAATATATTGGGGTCTTGATCATGAATTCACAGTGATGGGTAGAAACTATGATCATCAATCGTGATTGTACCATCTGTCGCTATTAAATTATGTGATTAACAAAAGTAATAAATGTATTCGGATTGATTAATGCATCATTATACAAAATGATATGAATAGATGATATTTCGGTAAATGCATCATCATCATTTCCTATAAGAGGTTCACATGAGCAGATCAAAAGGTCTAATTCAGACTTCAAAATTTGATTGTAATAAACATACCCGGTTGATCGATCAAGCTTTGGATGCACCAGAAGTCTGAGCCAGCTCCTCCAACAGTTCCTTTTGCTCCAAGGTTGCACATGCCTGCAAAAAAGTATTTTGTTTTTGAAGATCAATACGCAACACAAAGCAAAAAGTAAAACAAAAAACAAAACAAAAACAAAAAAGTGCACCAAAAGCCACAAACAGATTGTGTTCTATAAATAAATTAGGCATTGTTCATTAAAGAAATATATACAAAATGAAGTCCATTCTGAAGTCATAAAAGCCAAGGCTTGCTATGACCACATATCGACGGAGCCAATGGATTATATGACAACCCCAGAATCAAACTCAATATGATATATCAAGCAGAGATCTGCAATGGAACCTCTTACATGGAGAAAATAAAGCTGCAGCAGGCACCAGTTCTTTTTTGCATGGTTAAAAATAATTTTAGAAAATGACGGCAAACAGAATTTTACCAAAGCCAGTGGTGTCAATGGCACTGACAAGCAATAGCATGGAAGTCAAGTTGAACTTGGATTGTCAAGATTATAAAAGTATAAAGCATGGTATAACAAGGTTAATACACTCAATCTCCATCTTGGTTTCTGCAACTTGAGGACCAATATCTCATCAAAATATTGATTAAAAACAAACGTGCAAGAGGAAGCGGCTGCCTAAGAGCTTTGGTGAAACAATGGAAATTTTAGATCATATGCTAAATGATCATAGATGCTTATTCTTCTTGCTAGAGATCATAGCCTCCTCACCTCCTCAAATAATACAATGTACTTAAGGCAGTAAGGACAAAGAGGGCCCAGAAATTATGCTGCCATATAGATGTCCAGACATGGAGGTGCAGAGATTGGACATAATATGAAAAGATGCACACAATCAATTTAAAAAGACTGTATGGACTTTTCAACTTCTTACTGTAAATGTGGATAGATGATCGGTAAATTATGGTGCAGCAATTAAAACTTTTATCACCTGAGAAATTATTTCAAAATCTAACATTAAGAAACAGCTGATCTAATATAAGCGAATGAAATACACTTGAAGATATATTAACACCAACTCAAACCTGAATAGCTGCCTCAATATCTCCAGAGAGGAAGGATGTGAGCTCAAAATTCATCTTCAAGCGATGGTCGGTTACTCTGTTATCCTATAGAGAAACGTAAATGTCCATTATGCAAAATCCAGTCTCTGAACTTAAAATGTCTTTGGTTGGACTAATCAGTCTGGTGGGTACCAGATTTTGGTCATTTACCTTGTAATTGTATGTCCTTATTTTCTCTGCACGGGCACCAGTGCCTATCTGCAATTGTTGAGACTTGAGACAATCATTTAAGCATGCATCTGACAATAAACTCGTCATGGGGATTCACATAACACTATCCAGGCCAAGAAAAACTCCAACATCAAGTAGATGAAAGCAACCCCATTCAGTCCAACTATTTAAGAGGTCCCAGCACAGCAGTCTAAATATTTCTCCTATATGGTAGTTCAGTTGGCAATCTCAGGAAAAAATGAGGTTCAATTTAATCATAAGCAGAAATATGGTGGCATGATCTAAGGTGTGAAGAGATTATGACCTTAAGTAATTGATATGAATGATGAGTTCTGATTTGTGATTTCACATACATAAACAAAAAACTTGTTGTTCCACAAGAAAACATGCAATGCCATTATATTTCTTAGAAGTTCTTCTTGCAAACCTGTGATTTCCTCTGGTTCCTTAATGATTCTTGCTGCTCCCTCACTTTAATCTCGTAACTGCAATATATATTGCGGCAATGAGAAACTTAGTGTACATAATACAAAAATGAGATATTTCTATAACAATAGCAACACAACCTTTATTCCCAGCCATCTGGGATCAACTACAAAGTTTAATTAAAAGTTAATCCATTGATTATTGTCTTTCTCCACCGTTTTTTATCATGTTTTCTTTTGCATCCACTCACTCCTATAATATCTTGGTTATAGTAGCAAATAAGTTATAAGTATCACTTTATATTAATAATATATTGAAATTACTTTAAAAAACATATATATTGAAATCATGTTCGGATAGAACCACTTCAGCAGACGAACTGCAAATAATCTATCAGCTGTGTTGAAATCTTCTTCTAAAAATAACTCACAGCTTCGCTCTTAGTAATTGAAAAGCACGGTCTTTGTTGCGAAGCTGGGTTCTTTCTTCGGTACAGAAGATCCGTATTCCTGTTGGTTTATGGAAAAGGTCAACAGCTGTTTCCACTTTGTTTACGTTCTGCCCTGCATCCATGAAGATCATAAAAAATTTATTATCATACTAGCAAAGGTAGCCCGTGGCAGCTACATGATATTGTGAAAGAAAAAAAAGGAATATACTGAGACAAGCCCTGCTCTGTCTAGAGAAGGGTTTCAGCAACGTGATTTTTTACCTCCAGCACCGCCAGATCTTGCTGTTGTCAGTTCAATGTCTTTTGGATCAATCACCACTTCAACTTCATCAGCCTGAGTATGTATACGTATGTATATCAAACTATAAAAGAAAGGCTTGCTTAAAAAATGTCTTCGTTATAGGTAAACTATCAAAAACTTCCCAAATAAACCAAATCATCTGCTAGAATCTTGTCTACATATATTAGCATATGCAATGACTATTCTTTCTGCACAAGAAGTCTGTGGTAAGAAGTCATAACAATATCAACAATTTATGGTATTATGGGTAATAACTAATTATACAAAAAAAGAACCTTTTTATGCGTGTGATCAAACTAGCACCTCTGGCATTATTGCAACAGTTGCAGTTGATGTATGCACACGTCCTTGAGCTTCAGTCTGAGGTACACGTTGAACACGGTGAACACCTGACTCATACTTTAACTTACTATAAACTCGTTTTCCTTTAACTTCCATCACAAAAGTCTTGTATCCACCTTTTTCAGCCTGAGACAAGCTCTCTATTTTAAATTTGGCTAAGCATCATGGGCTTATATAAGCTAGTCAAAGACATACCTCAGAACTAGAAATTGTTGCATACTTCCAAGAATTTCGCTCGCTATATTTCTGATACACGCGTACCTGAAGCATGATCAATATTATTTAAAACAAGAAGCTTCTGTGAAACAGCAGATGAGTATGTTAACCAATATGTTACCATCTTAAGTACTATAAAGGTTGATAATAACTAGTACTTCTAACTCTTTATCAGTTAAACAAAGCTTTCAGAAAATGCATCTTTGCAAAACTATACTTAATGATTATGAATGTTTCATCTACCTACAAGATCACCAGCCCATATTCCTGCCTCATCACCACCAGTACCTGCTCTTACTGCAAAAGAAGCAATAAAACATTAGTATAGTCCTTCAAGAGCCTTTCTTTGGCATAAACTAGAAAAAATGATGATGATACGAGAATGATTCACTTAACATTTGGACCCCATAATCCATCCATGATATAATGAGAACATGTCCAGTGATAAGAAATTCATTGACAAAAAAGAAGATGATATGTGGGTTTATTAGCTACGAGGGCCTCCTTTTATGATACCCAAGGATGAAGAATACTCCCCACTTCCATTCATACCTATCCATTGCATCTTAAAATTAGTCAAGTTATGGAAATTAAAAAAAAAAAGTCTGGCAGGTATGTTCAGGATTCAAGAATCCAGCTTCCAAATGACTTGCAACAAAAAGTTACTAACAGCTAAAAGGATCTTGTGCTATAAGTAACAGTGAGGTACAAATAGTACCACATAGCATATGTGCCACCATATACTCATTCATTATTAAGAATAAAAGATAAAAGGCAGCATGATGAACATGAGATTGCTACTGAAAACTAAGCAGATTGACTTGAGAAGACATTTTGATGGAAGCTCAATGATTGGATTCTTGATAAGGAACACTTATACAACATTGACTGAATCCATTTATAAGATGAAAATAGTCATTAACTAAAGGAATTTAGTAGATTAGAAGGGATAATTTGAAGTTTCAAAATCTATGCTGATAGAATCTATTTGAACAAATGCACGTTTATTGTAAGAATGTTTGAGTTATTGGTAATGTAGGTCACCATATAGCATATCCTCACTGTAAAAGGTAAGAATATAAAGTATAGATCACTTAAGGTTCTAATAATCCTCAAAATAAAAAATTATCAATTACCTTCAAGTAAGATATTGCGGGCATCCATAGGATCAGTAGGAAGCAATAGCATCTGCAGACAAAATTTTGAAAGTTAATGTGAAGATTTGTTTTGGATGTACAACCAGAAATCGGAATTCTCTCCACATTCCATCCTACTACCATAACTGAATAAAACAGCACTTTTTTATTTGGCAACAATTTTTATCAAACAAAAAGGACAATGTGGTAACAATGTGAGCATGACTCATGAGAAGATTAAGAAATATTAACTTATAGAAAACATGAACTAGTTAATACCAAGAAATTCTTATACATGGTGAAAATGGAGCAAATAGAAAAGCATAGTGAAATCTAGAGATATAATGAAGCAGATTCTAGAAGGGGAATGATAAAATATCATACTCCATGGTTAGCAAAACACAAATGAATGGAATTTCAAATTTTAGCGGACTTTCTGGTTGTGACAACTCAATGTCTGTGAAATGTCCTGTGATATATCATTAACAAGGTGAAATGTATTAAAAGAAACTATCAGTTTTGAATACATTTTGTGAAATTACTTTTTTGGACCATGATCATCCACAATAACATCACAACAGCTCATAAAGGTCATGCGCAGAAGACAAATGAAAGCTGCAACAAACTTAGAATTTACAGATTAAAAAAAAGATGTTGCAGAATGGTACATGGATTGGGGCCTAAATAGCTTTTCACCAAAGCTCTGTTGAAGCTTTATCCTTTAGGTATAGTACCTAAGGAGAGAATATAAGGCATACAATTATTTTATGTTAGCTACCTCGTGTTATAACAAACTAGAGCTTTGCGTCATGTAGCTATTAAGTAAAGACACACTCAAAGGTTATTGATAGATCAACATTTTGGTGTTGAAAATAATGTACTCTATGCCTGCAGGGCCCTCACCATAATTCTCTCACACTATAATAGTTAAGATGATAGGACAAACATCTGTTTGCTAAGTGTAGAGGATAATCTAACCCCAGATATATCACTTTATCATTAATAAAGTATATGAGTTACATAAAACATAATTAAGCAAAGGTCTTAGTTTAAAGAACAATGGCTTAGGTCAAGACCTTCAACTTATCCTCAAGATCTTTAAGCTGTTCGAATAACATCTCCAGCTCGTGAGATACCAATTCAGCCATATCTGGGTCGCTCCCATCCTCTTTTGCTAAAGCTATTGTCAGACAAATATAGGCCTTAATCAGATATCTCAAATTGTAAGGCAATTTGTAAACATGATCCAGAAGTGCAAACCTTTCGTTTCTTCTATTTGTCTCTCACATTCCTTGAACTTCCTGAAGTTCATTACTACCTGATTTTTCGGAGCACAGAAATATTTTTTGTGATAATAATTGAACACTTAACTTTTTTCATTGATTTAATGTGTCCTGATAGGCCACAATAGAAAATCAAAAAGGCCATCACATGAAACTCCAGTACCTCATCAAGTTCTGCCACAGATTGTGCAAGCTTCTGATACTCAGTAGGATTTGAAACAATATCAGGATCTGCAAGCTTGACCTACAGTGACAATAGTACGAGACTTCTTAAAAAGGAACTATATTTTTAATCAAGAAGAGAGATTGGTGCAATTTCATAATTCAGAATGGTGTTAGAACGCTTTGACTTATTGCACTTTTTATCCATTTGTAGAATCTCTTACATAAACAAAATGATTAAACATTAAATACATCAATTACTAACTACAAATACCATAAAGGAATTAAAAATAGTCATTTCAAATGCACGTGCTAAGTTGTATGCAACTATTTGCATATAATGAGCACAAGCATACCGACAATTCTTTCCAAGTTCTTTCAGCAGAATCCAACTTTGATATCAGATATGGTTCCTGTAATAGCACATCTATTCAGTTTCAATAAATCAGGTAAAAGAAGCAACAATAGTGAAAAAGTACATGTACGAAGCCAAGACCAACATGAATATAATTAAGGGAGGTGCATAATACTTGAAAATTTCATGTAAATTAAGCATGCTACAAAATTTGATAATGATCAGTGAAATATATGTCAGAAACGAGTGATATTATGCACTGGCAAAGTAGAATAAATATAATAAACATTATGAATATGTAACATAGAGACTTTTTAGGCAACTTGAAATGCTCAATGCATGAATAGGGAAGAAGTAAGAATCTGTTAAACGTAAGTCTCAGCCCACTGGTTTGGTAGCACTGACTCCAAGAAATCTGTGAACTCTTTCTTCACTTCTAGGCCAGAATCACTTGTTGGTAAATTTGTGCCTGCTTATCTTCTAGGTACTTATTATACCTTGACAAATTCTAGACCTCCTTTCATCATTATTGGCAAAAAGGCTTTCACAATTCCATGACTCAGGAAAACAGATCATGCAAGCACAATTATATTTTTTTCCTAATCACATTATTAAGCCAACAAAATACCCCAGACAATCAATGCAGAGTTTATGTAATACGTCAGGACAGTAACTACTGCTGATATGCAGGATGATGCTACGTATCACTGAGAAGGTTCGCTGGTCTGAATAACTTTGATACGCCATTCTAATCTATGATCAGATCCTTTGAGCATATTTCTATTGTCATTAACCTATTAAGGAAACATCACAAGAAATCCAACATCCAGGTAATTTTAGTTACAATAATGTGGCTTTACCATTTAGTGACCTTCTTCCACATACAATTCGCATCTGACAAAAGATGCTTTAAAATTATTATTCAGATCAACTTGGGAAAAAGTTAAATCTTCATCCAATCAACCAAAAAAAAGGACATCATAAGTGGCAACAATAGCATGAAAGCACCATAATAAAACCTGGAAACTACCAACTGAAATAGAAAGAATGCAGTCGAGCATGAGAAATTCTTCAGAAAACTAAGTCAAGATCACAGCTGTCTAGTATCCGATGATAATAAATCGAAAGACATGATAGAAGGTTTCGGATAGAGAAATTACGGCCATGCAAACGATGCCAGGGGGTGCGGCTCTCCTCCGAGGCATACTAATCAGCGCTTCCTTCCTCCCCCTCCTCCTGCCGCCGAAGAGATCCGAGCGCGAAGCTCCGTGATTCATCGAGATGGCCGGAGCGCGAGGCAGAAAGCTGGTGAACAGGCTCTCCATCGCTCTCGGATAGGACGCAACGAGGAGGGTTTCGGACCGAAGGGATCGAATTTAAACACGGAAGCAAGCGGATAAATGTGCGAAGGCCCATTTCGGGCCCATCACAACACCACAGGTCCGCGAATGACCGCCTCAACCGTGATAATTGTAAAGGTTTGTTCAGCCCCTCTGTAACATCGTCTGCATCAATGAAGCGCGGTTGTCGTTAAAACCGGGGTTAAGTGGACAAGTTTACAAGGGTCCCATGGCAACACGTGGTCCGTGAGAGACCACATGAGCCAAGAAAAATGTGCGGGCTGACTCAGCAAGTACCCTACCGTCGTCCATCACTAGATAGTCAAAATTGGTGCTCGTAGTTAAAACAAGGGGTAAAGCGGACAGAGTCAGCATTTCAGGCCCCTTATTGGCAACATGTTCTTTTTTTTTTTAAATGAACGGCAATCCCATTTTGCTATTAACAATTTTTCACTATGGATCATACTTTAAAAAAAAATAAAATATAATTTTATTATTTATAATTTCTCAATTCTCAATCATAACCTTATTCTCACGACTTCTTATTTCATTAGTTGGAATCTTTATTCTCACGATTTCTTATTTTATTTGTTGGAATCCTAACTATTTGGGATGTGGCTCGTTACTCAAGGGCATAGAAGAAGATATTCATCACTCGTCGCTAACTACCCTTTGACACTCGCAAAGATTATGATTATATATATATATATATATATATATATATATATATATATATATATATATATATATATATATATATATATATATATATATATATATAT